GAAGAAACTCCAAGCACTGACGCCAAACAGTAGCAAACAATGGGGATGACAAGTTGCGCAGCCCTTGTGTTGTTAGGTTCCCGATTTGGCAGGCCCACAAAGGATAGGGGTGATCCAGCAGATCATGAAGCGGGCGGCTATGCCTTTGAGCACCTTCCAGCTCAGATGGGTATAATCGTTTCCACTTCCAGTAAAGGTTTTGCTGCTGAAGAACTTGTGGGATGATCGAGCCGAATGAGGTATGCCTCAAGTCTACAGGCCTAGAAACCAAGCACAACAAAACAAAGGATGCACGGTCAGGGATTTGTTGCCAAACAGCTTTTTTCATGACACCATTTGGTGTAGTTGTCTTGGAGCCACTGCAAAGAATATTCTGTTTGGATTTCCAAAATCGAACTCCACAAAGCATCCAGAATAACTTGCAGGTCCATCACGTGAAGCAAATCTACGGCGATACCTGGCCGGTACAAGTACAAAGGGGAGATCTCAGGAAAAAGATCCTGACAGGCCCACGCGTTGGAGAAAATCCTGGCAGATCTGTCACCTCCAACCTGCCATTGATCCGGACAAGCTCAGCTTTGGTGGTCCCTGGCCTCAGACCCACAAAGATCTCACTACAACTCGTTCACTTGATTTAGAAGGGTGTTTTCTTGTAGAGAGTTGGAACTGCAGGCGCGCGACGTCCCGCGGTGGTAAGCTGTATCACCACAGGCCGTGTACAACTGGGACATCATCTACAAAAGAACAAGCTGAACAATAAGGACAGCAGAACTTCCTTCCATGATGCCAGCTTCCTTGGCCAACCGGACACGTGTCAAAACATGTCAAAACCACACGTAGGCCTCCAGACTAGATCGAGCTCTGGTTCTCTTCAAGCTGAACATTTGGTGGATCCAGGCTTGGTCACCAACCTTGAGCCAAAGGTGCGCCAGCCTTGACGCGCCAACGCAGGGTAGTTGATCGAGACATTGTCCATCCGGATCCGTAGGCCGCCATACTCCGTCACCTTACTATAGCTCTGGAATCTAGAAAGCTAGGAAAGCCGAGCGTTCATGCAAAGTGTTTTGACGTTCCAAGGCACCCATAGCTTGGCACGACCAGAGGACGCACTTCAGCAAGGTCTCTTTGCAGTCTGCCAACGCAGTGCTTCCAGAACCCCCCTCATGAAACAGTCCTTCCGGTGTACTGGGTGTTCCTCATTGCTATCCTTGGCAGGGCTTCAAGCTGGACGCCTAGTACCGCCTGGACAGCAAGTTCCACCTGAAAATCAAATGACCCCAGAGGCAGAGCAGGTAGGAGCTCTAGACCAGAAGCAAAGCGAAGCCAAAAAGCGGAGGTAGCGCCACAGCTTTCCTCCATCTAATTCTACGCCCAAAAGCAGGTTCGTCGCCCAAGCAAAAATAGGCTTGAGAGGCCAGAGGCAGAGCAGGTAGGAACTGCTTAAGAACAAAGCAGGTAGGAGCTCTAGACCGCAGCAAACCCAATTGAACAAATTTGAGGGGCCAGAGGCAGAGCTGCTAGGAGCTGCTTAATAGATGCAACGAACCTCCCACGTTGCAACCTTCGTATCCCTGGCGCTGCCCCACCTAGGCACTCACTAAGCTGGGGTCGGCGGATATTGCAAGCATCATCTCCTGCAGAATAGTGGAGGCCATTGTTATCAGGTTGGAGGGCATCGCTATTGGGGTGGAGGCCATTGCTTTCAGGGTGGAGACCAGGTAGTGGACATGAGTTGACGTGAGGTCTATGCCATGATGACGACCTGCAGCTTTGGACTTGGGAACGGCTTGAAGCTCTATCGTTTGCTCCTGGCGCCGGAGCCACTGCATAAGGCTTTTGTGGGCCAGGCCATGAAGGCCTATCCAACGAAGTCGTTGAAGTCGTCGTGCAAAGTCTTCTTGTTGGAAAGAGGGCAAAGAGGAAGGTCAAAAGGTCAAGGGTTGGCTTCGAGTGCGACCATAGGAAGGGGTAGTCAGTCTTTCAAGCCTGAAGTCTTTCAATGTTGCAGAGACTCGAACCGCTGAAGTGACAGGCGTCGGTTTTTGTCAATGGTTTTAGCTTAAGGCATGCAATTTTACCGTTATACCTTAAATGAACTACCCCTTGCAAAAAAACATCACTTGCTTAATTCCCTTTGACGTTGGAACGAAGTTGTTACCTGCCTTAATTCGCTGGCTCATTTTCTTGTCGATGAGAGGTCATGGCTTCGTGTTTGCTCTTTACGGGAAACGCGTATGGCCTTGGCTGCCATGAAATCCGCATTCAGAGGCTGCTCGGCTGCTGAAGCTTCTCATTACAGCATGAGCTGAAGACTGAAACTCATCCTGATTTCGATAGTATCTCCCTATGTGGAGTCCTTTCTTTACTTTTAATGTGCACTACAAGCCGCACAGCTTCAAACTTTTGGCTTCTCAGGTATGCTTGGCCTTGCTCAGTAGTTATTGCTGCTATGCTTCGAGTACTAGCTTCTGCACTGGCGCGAAAGGCAGTTTGGTGCAAATCCGAAGTCAACCAATTTGCAATGTCTGTCTGTCTGTCTGTTTGTCTGCCTGTCTGCATTTATGCAGTGATTCGTGAGGTTGTTTTTTCGTTCCCAATCTTGTTTTGGGCTATTGGCTGCGAAGCTTAAGTTTTGGGAGGCTCCAAGGCGTGCAGTTTTGCTTTACACGTATGTCTCATGTGACCCTGCAACCAGGGTGCCAAAGATGAGAAATTGAAGTGCCACTGAGAGGCAGCTCCGAGTCAACGCATCGGGACATCAAATCGGTCACAAAGTGGGTTCAAGAGAAGTTCAAATTTGGTGAAGATGTCCGACATGGTTTGGTGAAGATGGACACTCTGGGAAGACTTGGCGCAGAGCTTACCTTAGGTCTTGACGGCCCCGGTTTCGATACTTGCAACAACGCTCTTGGCAGCTACTCCTTGCTTACAAAAAATACGTTAAGGCTTCTTATAAAAACGTGTTTGACACAGGAATGCTTTTGAAAGTTGAACTGAAGATGCCCTTTGAGCTTTCTTTTACGCCTACTCACGTGCACTTCAGCACAGCAGTTGCAGGTAAAGAAACTCCATCACCCACGTGGAGGAATGACTTTCTAACAACCAATTTGTGTTGCCACCTGCCAGGCCAGTCTCTCTGCACTCGCTGAGTGGATTCTAGTTGTACGGAGCACTGCTTATCTCAGTACAGAGTGACAGCAGGCCAGGAGAATATCTGAGTTTGCAGCTAGGGTGGCGCAACACGGGCCGCATAGGCCACAGGGTTGGCTGTCACATTTGGTTGGACAAACTTGAGAAGTCCTCCCAAAGCCAGATGCCATGTGCATTGGGAAAGCCTGGAGAGTTGCTTCGACACCTCTAAGAGGTGACGGCAACTGAGGCAACGCTGGAAAATCCTCATTGTTTCTGCAAGACATGTTGTTGGCAACCTAATAGCAATGGCCTCCAACCAACCTAAGAGCGATGGCCTCCAAGCTAATAGCAATGGCCTCCAACCTAATCGGATTTGACACGTAAAAGAAAACGCGGCGTTTTCAGATTTAGAGATGTTTGAATTCCTTTTGAACTGCCTCGGTTTGGCCTGGGTGAAGCAACACTCTGGACTGGTACGGGAGATTTTCAAGGCTTAGATGGATCTCCAAGATTGGCTGAACTCGAGGCATACATTCTGCAGCATGCCGCAGCATTGCGCCCCATGGCCCACGACGGTACCCTTCACCTTTTGAGCCATCCGATCTTGGTAGGCATCTGATCTCAGGCACTGCGAGAGCCTGCCACACTGCGTGCGGTGAACCTTGTGGGGTTTGGAATGAACGTGGTTTTGCAGGTCTGGCAGAGCTGGGATAGAACGCTCTTGAGATCCTCTGATGTCTGACCGCTATGCCGGAAGATGTCGAGGGCCATCGTAGTGAAATAGTGGACATCCTGAAGAGCTCATAGACGCTTTATTGCCTATTGTCTTAAAAGGACCAATTCATGTCGCACAAAGATCCAGAGCTTGGTCAGACTCCAATTAGCAATAACTATGATCTACCTGCCAAAGGTTTGGTCATTGTACAGAGCGTTTGCTGAAGCACGTTTTCAGGCTAAAGCAAACGGGAACAGCGCTCCTGGCCTTACTACTAGGAACAAGAAGCTACCAGGAACAAAGGGCATGGCTACTAGGAGCAAGGACGCTTCTAGGGGCTCCTGGCCATACTACTAGGAACAAATAGCCCCTAGGAGCGTCCGAACGCTCCGTTCGTAGCCATGCCCTTTGCTCCTAGGAGCGTCCGGACGCTCCCGTCGAGTCTCACCGTGGAGGCTTCGGAAGTCTCGCACCCAACTCGACTGTCGACCGTCGGTGCAGGTCCTCCGTGATGTCTTTAAGCAGGGCGATGCCTGGTTCAGATCAGGTGACCTCTTGTGCAAGGCGACGGCGATACCTGCAGAGGGTGAATGTGAGAGACCAAACATTGCAAGAATTGGACGAAGACATGATGAAAAGGCAATTTCTGGGATGATGGACATGCGGAATGACAATCATCATGATCATGTCAATCAGATTGAAAAGACTACAAACCGATGACAGCTCTTCTTCGAGCTTTGGAGGATGACAAGGGCCTTTGGCATTTCGTGGACCGAATTGGCGACACCTTCAGGTGGGTCGACTTTTTCAAGAAGTTGAAGAAGAACATGGCGACTAGTAACATAGAAGCTACTAGGGGCTCCTGGCATCGCTACTGGGAGGAAGGACGCTACTAGGGCCTAAGGGGCTCCTGGCCTTACTACTAGGAGCAAGGACGCTACTCGGGACTCCTGGCATCGCTATTGGGAGCAAGGAAGCTACTAGTAACGCCTGTTTTCTCCAGACCTCGTTAGAACTTTTTTCCCTTTAATCGAACTGCAATAGGTGGAAGGGCGAGACTTTTGGCTGCACCAAGACCACGCTTCCCTTTGGATTCTGACATATGTGACACCTGTGATTTTGACCAGTTGTGCCACCAAGGAACGTTTCCACCATGGAGGTTTCTCAAATCCTCTCTAGTTTTCCAGGTGTTGAAGAAGCGAATGTCTATGGTGTACAGGCAGCACTGGATCGACCCATTCGTTGTTTTGTCGACCCATTCGTTGTTTTCTTTCTTTGTCTCTTCAGATTCTTTCTTTCTTCAGACTTTTTTCTTTTGTAGAAGCGGAAGGTGCCTGGGGAAGCGGAGGGACGTGCATGCATGGCGGCCCTTCGTGGTCAGGAGATGTGTTTTCGTGGCAAATCTCCGCGCCAGATGAGTCAGTTCAGTCAATTGGTCGTTTGCTTCACAAGACTTTCACTGTTTGAATGCCATGCGGCAAGACTTTCAGGACTTGCAATCTAGAGAAAAACTGGATGCCCTTCAAAGCCTTTGCGAGAAGGACAGCCAGCAAGAGTGCAATCAGCCATTTGATGCCATTTGTGTCATTAGGAGCGCATGGACAGTTACTCAATTAAGAGTTCCTGATGCATTCAGTGAGAATTCCATGTTCCAGTTCTTTCGGTAGCGTTCAGTGTTTCAAGGAGCTTCCCAGCTATGCACGTCCCAAGTTCCTTCGAATTTTGTCAGACATGGAGATCACTGGGACTTTCAAGCACCAGAAGGCCTTTGCTTCTTTCTTCGCTCGTTCCTTTCGTCGTTCCAATTGGTTGCTTCTTCCGTTCTTCGTTCCCTCGAACTCCGACGTTCGTTGGGTCGACGGTTTTAATGCGAGTTCCACGTTGATTGAAGTGGAGCCTTCTTGAGCTCTCTACGAGCCGTTCTGTTTGACGCATCTATCGGGCCCGAGTCCCGAGTCTCAAAGACTAGGGTCGAATCATCCCAAAGAGAAGAACGAATCTCAAAAGGAATAGCTTTAAGAAACAACAATAAGGAATTTTTCCTTTTTTTTTTTTTTAAATTTTTGTTTTGTTAATGTGAAACGGACATGAAGCATGGCAGTTGAACATCCTTGGAGGGCATGCAGTTGCGCATGAAACCATGCATCCGCGCCGCAGAGCGCTCTTGAGTATCAAGCAAAAAGGTGCCTTCATTCCGGTGCGCCGCCACGCGAATTTTGATGGTAGGCGGAGCCGCTTAGCTGCGGCATCTGCTAGCGCGGCACGCAGCTGCCTCGCGCCTTGCGGGCTCGACCTTCCTGGCGGCCGTTCGACGGCGAGCGACCGCCCTGGCCTTCGGCTGCTGCGCTGCTGCCGCCTCGCGCTGCCGCGGACGCAGATCCTGGGCCCACGCCCTCACTACGATGTCGGCACGCCTCGAATGTGACCGACATGGAGTCCCGCAGTTCGACGGGACGGCAGATGTGTTTGAAGAATATGAGGAACGGGCTTGGGACCTGTTCTATGGAAGAGCTGGCAACGACGCCACCCAGATCGCCACACCGATCCACCTTCGTTCAGGGCTCACGGCCGCTGCTTATGATGCTGTTCGCAAGCTGAGCCATGAAACCCTGTGCACTTCGAGGGATGGAAAGGCGACCGATGCTGGCATGAAGCTCCTCATCCGGACTCTCAAAGAGTCCATAGCTGCTGAAGTTCCGGTGAGGATCAACGAGCTCTTCCTGACCGCCTTCTACTCGCCCCAGGTTTGGAGAAAGCCCTCAGAGACGATGCAACAATATATTGTGAGAAGGGAGCAGGACTTCAACCGGCTGCTGGAAGCATCATCTGGCACCCAGGTCTCCGACAACCTCCGCAGTATGATGTTGCTGATCTTCTCCGGCCTGGACCACCGCGAGCAGTTGAGCGTCCTTGCAAGTGTTGGCAATGAGTATGACTTCAAGAAGATTAGTCATGCCCTGAGGATTCAATACCCTCAAGCCACGGGCAAGCCACTTGCAAGAAGAGATTATTTGGGGGCCAGTCGAGGCTCACGAAGCTTCAATGATGGCCCACCTCAGAGCCGCTACAAGTGGAAGATGACCCAAAGGGCTCGTTCAGTTTTGGCTGCAACCCATGAAGATGAGGATGACGACCCTGCAGCCGACCTCGGCGAAGAGATCTTCTACGAAGATGAGGTTCCTGAGGATGACGAGCCGGCAGATGAGGCCTTCGTGAACTACTCCGACGATGAAGAGTTGGAGGCCCTCCTGAACGAGAATCGAGAACTGCTAGATGATTCCCAGGTGGCTGAAGCATACGCCACCATTGCTCAGTTCAAGAAGAAGAAGAAGCAGTTCAGCACTTCTCCCAAGAAGAGCTCAGGAGGACAAGGTGGTCCATATCCCTTCAAGGCCACCGGAGAATTGAGTTTTGATGCCAAGGCCAAAGAACAGCGCAAGTCAGCTGTTCGCTTCTTGAAGAGCGTCACTCCATGCACCACTTGCGGCCAGCGTGGTCACTGGTCCGGCGATGCAGAATGCCCTCAACGCTCCAACACCAAGAAGGGCAAGGGAAAGGGAAGTCAGGCCAAGAAGAAAGCCTCACCGAAGAGGACATCGCAATCCTTCTTTGCGCTCCACGACCAGATCGAGTCTGATGAAGAAGCTGAGGTTCAGTTCACTGAGACCTGCAACCTGAAGGACTTCCAGCGGCCCTTCCATGCTGCTATGGAGAAGGAATGGTCCACCCTTGTCGCCAACAATGTTGTTTTGGAGCATCCTGTCATCAACATCGCGGACACCTCTGAAGTGCCACCGAAGGACATGGATCATGAGAATGCCTTGCCCCCAACGTATGACCTGATCCATGAGTACGCCGACATGACGGCGAATGACCCAGTCCTCGACTCCATCGACGGCACTGGACGGAATGCAGACGCCTACATGATGGCGAATGACCCGGTCGCTGACCCCTCCGACGGCAATGGACCGGGAGCTAGTTTCACCGCTTCCAAGTTTTCCGAATGCTTTGTCAACTTCAAGAGCCCAATCCTCTGCGAGCATGCCCGAGGAAATGGTGGTCCTGAGCGTCAATATCATCGTGGAGCAAACGGCCACACGAGACACCTCTCCTGCAAGGATTGTGACAAGACTGTTTTGGTCGCCCGCCGGAAAGAACCTGTTCAGTTGTGGGGCTACTTAGTCCAGGTTCTCATGGCCACAAAGTGGGGATCAGCACTTCGATCCGAGGGTCTCTACCGCTATGCAGGCCGACTGACTCACGAGTACGCTGGGCTACGTCCTCTACCACCACCTCGCGGTTCCTCCGCTATGTCAGCTGCGCCCTCAGCCTGGGAGTTGGTTGCACCGAGCACTCCTTCAGGCTATGTCAAGTCGCCTTCTTCACCAAGTACCACTTCGGAAATGTCAACCGCACGGATCGTGCGACAGCCCAGGCATCAGGCCTGGCTCTATGGAGTGCAGCTTGCACCAGGTGTTGAACTTCCGCCATTTCCACCACTTGCGGAAGGTGATGAAGACATCTTGATCCCTTTGCCTTCGGATCAGGAACCTTTGATGTTGGAGCAGGGAACGATTCCTTTTGCAGTTGCTTCTGCCTCTCCCGAGTACGAGCCCTACTGCCAGCAGGTATTGAAGCATGCCTTGGACAATCAGCCCATGGACCCGACGGTGTATCGCTTTGCCTTCTACCTGTACGGCAAGGTCAAACTGGCATGGGCAGCTGGTCACCGACTCGTGAAGGGTGCTGGATCTTCCGCTGCCAAGCGAGGCAAGTCTGATGACATGACCGGCACGAGGTACATGATCTTCCCTGTACGAGCAGATCCATCTATGCCTGCTCAGGTCCAAGAGTGCGAATGCATGATGGTTGCCTCCGAAGAGATCGAGGAGAACGTCAAGTATGAGGCCTTTGCACTCGAAGCGCAAGACCCTCCAGGCCTGGCCATCCTCGACTCCGGCTGCACAAGAACCATGCACGGTTCAGAATGGGCACATCGCTTTGAAGAAGAGATCTCCAAGTATGACCTGGTGCCCAAGGTCCGTGACAAAAGACAAACCTTCAAGGGCATTGGAGGAGCAGCCGAGTCCAAGATTGTAAAAGTTTTTCCAGTTGGCATTGGAGGATCACACGGAGTCATCCACTCTGCCAAGACCGACGGCCAGACACCAATGCTGATCTCTCGACCTTTCATGCAGGCCCTTGGAACCATCATCGACTTGAAGAACAACACCGTGTCCTTCAGCGAGCTTGGCATCAGTTCACTGCCACTTCATCGCACTCGGAGAGGACACTTGGCCATTAGCCTGCTTGACTTCAGCGACATCAAGTCCAACATCGACTTTGAAAAGGCTCAGATCTCAGAGTTCCCTGAGGAAGAGGTCTACATCCATGACGAGACCTACGAGCTTCCCCTTGATGCCCGCATCGACTATGATGAGTACGACATGAACCCCGATGACTGGGCAGACCAACAAGAATGGTTGGATATGATGAGGGAAGAAGTCGCCATGACCAAGATGTACGAAGCCCGTCAGGGACCCTGGGCCAACAAACCTCCTGATCCACCTGAACCAGATCAAGCGTTGTTCCTCGACCTTGATGAGCCACCAGATGATGGCCACCACTGTGATGATGAAGACATCTTCCTGTCCATGGTTGACGAGGGACACTTCACTACACGGAAGCCAAGTTCCAAAAAGGGCAAGAAGCTTGAGTCCATGAATCTCTCCCTTGATGGCGACGACTACAATCGCTCTCGCATCCTCAAGAATGAGAACACCATCAAGGTGAAACGCCGACCTCCTTGCGGCAAGACATGGTTCAAACAGCTTTTTGCTGGGCAGCTGGGCATTTCCCTCCTTGGCATCTTCATCGGCATGAGCATTGGCATCCCCTTGGATATCACTTCAAGCTCTTGGGATGCATCTACTTCTGCTGGTCGCCGACGGTTGCATCAGGACTATCAGGTCGAAGACCCCTACTGCACGATCATCACCCATCCGTGCGGACCTTGGGGATCCTGGTCAAGATTCAACCTTGCCAAGGGAGGTCAAGCTGCAGAGACTGTCAAGGCACTCCGTGAATCCAACCGTGAAGTCCTCAAGACTGTCAACAAGACTGTGAAGGACAGACTTCGAGCCAAGCGACATGTCTTCATCGAGCAGCCCGCCGGAACTGAGTCGCTATGTGAAGATGAGATGAAAGACATTATGAACTACATCACCTCCGGCGACCTGATCCTGCTCCGTGTTGATGGCTGCATGGTCGGCTATCACGACCGAGAGAGCAAGTTGCCCCACTACAAACCGTCAATTTACATCACCTCCATGATTGCTGCAGAGCCCATCTTTGCTAACAAGTGCTGCAGCAGAGACCACCGTCATGAACCTCTGGAGGGAAACAACACCTATGGTTCTCGGACTACACAAGCTGCTGAATGGCCCGAGAAACTCAACCAGTTGGTCCTGGACACCATCATCCAACAAGCCGCAATCGAGACCGAGGCTCACTCAGGTGTCCACGAGGCTTTTCCCAGTGAAACCCGAGGTCATGACCAAGGTCAAGGAGGCAGTCCCAAAAGACAGAAACTGCGACGAGGTCGAGTCGCCACACTCGGCTCCAACTTTGGCACACCACCGGTCTACATCCGACCTGGCCAATTGGAAGATCCACTACCTCAAGAACCACAAGATGATGATGGAGCACCGCAAGACGACCATGACTTCAGGGCTGAACGTGCAGCCGCCTTGGACCCCATCCTCAGCATTGGAGAAGGTGAACGTCGCCAACAGTGGCTCCAGATCGATCCTGAGATCAGAAAGATCCTCCGTGACCTCCACACCAACTTTGGTCATTGCACGAACACCACTCTCCAAAGGATCCTCCGTCGTCAAGGTGCAAAAGAAGAAGCAATTCGAGGAGCTGGACTTCTGGCCTGCGATGCCTGTGGTGATAGCATCAGAGCCAAGAGACCAAAGCCAGTCAGACTTCCAAACAGATATGAGTTCAACAGGCACATCCTGATGGACACCTTCTTTGCAAAGGACAGTGCCAACTCCACCTATGCCTTCTTGAACATTGTTTGTGATGCCACCGGCTTCCAGGTTGTTTGTTGTATGGGCCTACACTCCGGAGTCCCGTCTTCAAGTGTAGCACTTCGCCATTTTGCAACTTCCTGGACTTCATGGCGCGGGCTCCCTCACAGTATTCAAGTTGATAGAGGAAAGGAGTTCATGGCAAGGTTCGCAGACCACCTCAAGACCTTCGGCATTGAGCAAGAGGTCATGCCCTTGGAAGCTCCATGGAAAGGTGGACGCTGTGAACGAGCTGGCGGTCTTTGGAAAGATCTTTGGATCAAGACATGCCTTGAGTGCCAAATCGTTGGATTAGATGATGTCATCCTGGCCACCGGCATTGTCACTCAGACCCGCAACAGCTTTCCACGAAGTAATGGATACTCACCCAACCAATGGGTGCTTGGTGTTCCCGAACTCCGACTACCTGGCTCACTGCTCACGAATGAAGCCGGACAGCAACTAGAAGTTCTTGAGGCAGCTGAAAACCCACAATCACAGATGGCAAAGACACTGCAGATCCGTGAAGCTGCCCGTGTTGCTCAGGTCAGACTGGACACAGACTCTCGTATTCGCAGAGCCCTTCTTCGTCAGAGCACTCCAACAAGAGGACCATACCCGATTGGATCCTACGTCTACTTCTACAAGAAGCAGCTTGGTCCCCAGCGAGTGACTGACAAACGACAGTACAACTGGTTTGGTCCAGCGAGAGTGATTGGTGTGGAACTTCGCAACCCACGTCGTTTAGAAGATCAAGATCCACCCACTGAAGGCGGTCAACCACACTCCTATTGGCTTCGCTACGGACCTTCCGTTGTCTTGGCCACAGGTGAGCAACTCCGATTCGCTTCTGAAGACGAGCTTTTGGCCGCTCACTGCATTCCCTCTTATGCAGTTCAATCTCGCTCACTTCGTGGTGCTCGCAACTATGTCGACGCCCGGCCACTCCAGCTTGAGAACCTCAACCTGCCAGGGGGTTCCGTCGTCGATTTTTGGCATGTTTCTGGCGATGGCCGTGTGGTTCGTGTGCATCAACAACCACGGTTTCTTCTATTTCATCCCGCTGACCAAGGCTGCCCTGTTGACTTGGACCAGCTCCAGAATGTGCGAGTCACTGAAGCCATCTACACGGCTGAAGCAAGAGATCACGCCCTGACTGACACCATTGAAGATGATTGGCGTGCCAGCGATCCACAAGAACAACGTCCACTCACCTTCCAATGGACAGGCGAGACCATCTTCTACCTAATCAACCAGCCAGATGGCGATGACGGCGACATGGTCTACACACCATCAGTGCCGCCCCAAGACCTACCAGGGGGTGAAGATCTTCCTCCAGTTCCGGAGGACAATGAACTTGATGCACCACAACCGCCACAGCCACCAGCTCAGGAACCACAGCAAGAGATAAGGACGGGCGCCGCCCTTCCTCGGCAAACCAGTGTGGCCGAACCAGAGCCACAACCACTTTCCAGGCTCAACACGCCGCCTGACCCACAAGCAGGACGAGCGTTTCCACTTCATGTGCCACCAACTCCGCCAGTTGGCTTCAGACCACCGCAGCCCACGGCAACATTGGACACCGCCAGACGGGACCCTGACCGCCTCGATGGTTATGGCCCCACCACGTCCAATAACCAGCCCCGGGTCTACCCCGGACCGTACCTGGCCGATCCATGGCCCGATGAGTGCAATGACCTCCAGGCCAATTCTGGTCTGAAAGAGCTCCGTCGCCTTCAAGGCCAAGAAGACGGAGAAACCTCCACTGACGTTGAGGTCACTGAAGACCTACCAGCTGGACCCTTAGGCAATGCTCACTGGAAAGGCTGCAGTTCGCTCAGAGATCAATCTCGCAGCTCTCTCACCAGAAGACCGCCTCAAGTTCGATGCCAGCATGGAGAAAGAATGGCTGAGCTGGCAGAAGTTCAGCGCTGTGGAGATCCTCACGGATGAACAGACCCAAGCACTGCCCGACGATTGTCAGGTGATCGGCACGCGGTGGGTTCACACCGACAAGAACTCCAAGCCTCGAGCACTGGCAATGGCCCTCGCTCGCAAGACGGGCAAGTCAGAAGATCAGATCAAGGCCGAGTACCCGTTCGAAGCAAAGTCAAGAATGGTGGTACAAGGGTGCCAAGAACAAGATCAAGGCATCCGCAGTGATTCACCTACAGCATCGCTCCTCGCCTTCAACTTTGTTACGGCCATCACCGTTGTCATGGGATGGACCATTGAGGCCTATGATGCCAGCACGGCATACCTTCAGAGCCAAGGCATCTCAAGGCTGCTGATCTTGAGGCCACCAAGGCCTCCACCTCCGGGCATCTCTCCACTCTCACTGCTGAGAGCAAAAGGAAGTATCTACGGCACTCGTGACGCCGGGCGCTCTTGGTGGAGAAAGCTCTATCGTGTGCTCCTCAGCAAGCAATGGGTGATGAGCAAGCTGGAACCTGCACTCTTCTTCCTCTACGAGGACAAGAACCTGACCGGCATCCTGATCTCTCATGTAGATGACCTCTACTGTTCCGGCATTGGCAAGCTATATGAAGAGTCAATGCGTATCCTCGAGAAGGAGATCTACCTGAAGAAGAAAGTTGGTGAGTTCCGCTTCTGCGGGAAGAATGTCAAGCAGCTCCCAGACGGCTCGATCGCTGTCGATCAAGAAGATGCAATCTGGAGCCTCGACTATGTGGTCCTGGACAAGAAGCGACGTGCTCAGCCAAATGCACGCCTGACCGAGCCTGAGAAGACACAGTTCCGAGCCCTCATTGGCTCACTTGGCTGGATCGCGCGCCAGACGCGACCAGATGTTTTGGTGAATGTCAGCATCGCTTCACAACAGCTGGGCTCTCCCTCCATCAAGGACATGGTGGACCCGAACAAGGTGGTCCGAGTCTTGAAAGAGACACCAGCTGAGAAGTGGAACTTCATCAAGCCTCCGTGCGAGCTCAAGGACCTGGCTGTCTTTGCCATGTCCGACAGCAGCTTTGCCAACACCAACGGCTTGAAGAGCCAAACCGGCTATGTCGTCGGCCTTTGCACCTCCGAGATCACCACCGGTGTTCCCACGGCCATTTTGGTTTTGGAGACCTACAGTGGCAGCATCAAGCGGGTATGTCGCTCGACTTTGGCTGCCGAGACGAATGGTTTTTTGACAGCCGCCGAAGCTGCCGACTATGTGAGGTCGCTCCTGCTGGAACTCCAGCACCCTGGCTGTCGCATGGCGGACCTCGACCGCCACTTCGTGAAGGAAAAGCTCCACCTCTTCACGGATGCCAAAAGCCTTGAGTCTACGCTCAACAAAGACGCAGGGCAACCGAACGACAAACGGGTGAGGATTCTCCTTGCCCAGGTGAAGGAAATTTTGGACCGAGCGGCCGACGACGAGCCAGACCTCCAGGTTCTTTGGGTTGACACAGCCCAAATTCTGGCTGATGTTTTGACTAAGGTTGGCTGTGAGAGGGAACCTCTCCTTGAAGCCCTTTCAAAGGGGACCTGGACCCTGCGAGCTTCTGAAGAAGCACAAGCAAGGAAGCAGGCCATTCGAGATGGCCGTAAGCGCCGAAAAGCAGCTGCAAAACCCCCAAAGGATGAGGACGGGTGTGAAACGGACATGAAGCATGGCAGTTGAACATCCTTGGAGGGCATGCAGTTGCGCATGAAACCATGCATCCGCGCCGCAGAGCGCTCTTGAGTATCAAGCAAAAAGGTGCCTTCATTCCGGTGCGCCGCCACGCGGATTTTGAGTTAATGTTTTTCTTAGTCTCTCCGGTTTCTTCACGATTCTTTGTGACAACTCTGCTGTCGTTTCGCAGTCGAGGTGCAGCTGCGTGATCAGGGCTTTGACCCATCGAAGGTGGGACATGTTTCGAGCCGACGAGCGGACGAGCGGACGAGGAACCGAGCGCCTGTGTCTCGTCGTGCCGTTTTGGTTTTGTGGCAGTTGAAATGGACCACCAACCTCCAAACTTTGTTTGCAGTCAGGTGCACAAAACGAGAAGTGTACTTGAAACCACTCAGGTGAAACTCGCCATTCGATAAACATCGTTTGGCTCAAGGTTGCGCGGAGAAAAGGATCCGTGCAGCACCACACGACACACCCAACCTTCCCTAGGTTATGAGCCCAACCTGCTGACGGGTTGTGGCCGGTAGAAGTCCACCCTGTTTTTTCAGGTTGTTGGTCCCCATGGAGCAGCATCGAAGACGCAAGCAACAGCGCTCTAGGGAGCGAAAAGAAGAAGCTGCCGCAAAGGAGGCTGTTGTGAAGGAGGCTGCCGCTGCTACACCTCGGCTGGAGGTGGGAGTCGCTGACCGAAAGCTCGACGCCTTGATCGAAGAGGAGCTTCGCTCGAGGGCCAAGTCGGTGCCGGCATCGTCGTCCACGGCAGAAATGAAACGTTTGGGAGCTTCCGCTGCGGAGTTGTTGAGGGCACCGCAAGGACCACCTGTGACCTACCATCCTCAACCTGCACAAGAACAAGTACACCAATTGGTGATGGATCCTAGGGGACAGTCGATGGGTTTGGGGCATCTCCAAGAAGCGGTGCGCCACTCGTTTGAAGTTCTGCAGAACGCACTACGAGGACCTCAACAACTGGGTTCAACTCTACTTGATCCACTTCTTCGCCAAGCTGATCAGGGAGTCCCTCATGTGCACGATCATGGAGGTCCTCCAGGGCATGCGTTGGCGGCTGGAACCCCGGTCAGGGATGGGAGATCCGATCGGGATGGATCTATGGTTTCTCCAATGGTGGGATCGGTGGGCCGCGAAGCTCTCCATCCAAGAACGCTGGATCCCTATGCGGCGGCAACTCCGGTGGGGCCTCTCAGCACTGTGAATCCTTTTTGGAGCACTTCACTTCAACAGGCTGCAAAAGGTGAAGGGCATGTACGTATGGCTGAAAGCAGTGGAAAGAAACCTGCACCTTCAAGTCCCGGAGCTGGCGATGTGGAGAAGATCCGAGCTCAGATCTTGCGGGAGGCGGAGGATAAGTTCGCTCGTGAAGTCAAGAGGTTGACTGATGGTGGAGCACCTGGTGATGCTTCGTCCTATGCCTCGGCCGCGAGCGCTGGTATTGGTGATGGAGGCCGTGCTCTACCTGAACCTCCTGGACTACCTCCTGGTGATCCTGTGGGCGCGGGAGTTCCGCCATGCACCAAACCTGACCTTCCTCCAGGACTTCATGCTGGACGACCTCAAGGTGACTCTACTCAGCCTCCGGTGATTCCGGAAACTGTGAGGAGCTTGGACCTTCTGAGCTTGCCTCATCCCTCAACTGAAGGAGCTGCACTTCAATATGGAGATTGGTTGACTATGACCTATCCGTTGATGGCAGACCTCTCGGCGACTTCTCAGTTGTGGTGGGATGGATGCTTGGCTGCAGCTGGTGAACTCTATGAGAAGTGGCTCACTGCCACCCCTTTGGAGCGCCTTCGCTTGCGCCCTGTGGAGAACATCGACCCTGTCCACCAACGTGTTGAACAGCGTGGTGTATCGCTCCTCCTGAGCATCTTGCCCGACCAGCTTCGAAGAGATGTGATCGCCAACAGGAAGGTCACAACGGTCAGCATCCTTTTTCGACTTCATGTTCTTTTCCAGCCTGGAGGAGGTGCCGAACGAACTACACTTTTGAAGTGTTTGACGGAAGTGAAAACATCCAACAACATCCAGGACCTCTTGGTGACTACAAGGACCTGGCGACGATGGCTCCAGCGAGCAGAAGAGCTTCGTTTGACCCTGCCTGACCCGTTGATTCTCATGCAGGTGTTGGGGCGCATCATGGACTCCCTGTCGAAATTGGGAGGAAGTCAAGTGGCCTACCGGGTGTCTTCGGTGAGGCAGGAATTGCTGGTGGATCTGAGGCCCGAACTTCAGTCCATCAAAGATCTCAGCGAATACTTGCAGGCGGAGATGGAGGACCTGTCGCTTATGGTGGTGGCCCCAAAGACATCGGCTACAACATCATCGACTCCGTCTAGCCAGACCGCTGCACCTGTTGTGAAAGCAATGCACTCAAGCCAAGGCCAAGATGAGAAGCCGAGGTCGCCGTGCAGATTTTGGGGCTCTCAGTCTGGGTGTCGGAGGGGGGACACGTGTGGCTATGCGCACTCCTGGGATGGACTGGATCGTCAGCAAAGATGTTTCTTCTGTTCAGGAGAAGGTCACATGATGAAAGATTGTCCTCACCGTCAACAGAGGGGCACCAAGGATTTCAAAAAGAATGCCAAGGTGAAAGGCGTTGGTGAGGAGGTGTCGAAGGACAGTCCTACCAAGGAAACACAATATAGAAATTCTGAGGCTTCGGGAACTACATCGTCTCCGAGTTCATCGCTCTTGTCATCGCCAACGGTGTCTGGAGGTGGATCGGGAAAGAACGGTGGTGGGTCGCCGGAGAAGGAGTTGGGGGGTGACCAAAAGTCAAAGGTTGACTCCGCTTCTGTCCTCCTTGATGAAGCTACAACTCTCCTCAAGACGCTCAGGACCCTGAAAGCGGTTCGCCTGAAACAGGTCTTTGTGGAGCCCGTGAACACAAGTCTTCAAGGTTTTGCACTCCTTGACGGAGGGGCAACACATGCCCTCCGAACTGCACACCCTGATGAAAGGAGCGAGATGACTCCCATCGAGGTTGAACTTGCTACAGGTACTACAGTTTTGTATCGCCATCCAAAGCACCGCACCCTGTTGTCCTTGGAGGAGGTGGAGCCGATCATCCCATTGGGGCTTCTGGTTGAACGGGGCTATAAGGTGGAGTGGCGAAGGACGGGTTGCAGTATCCGTCACCCAACACTCGGTGCGATCGACTGCTGGCTTCGATCTGGCTGCCCGATCATGCATCGTCAACCTGCTTTGGACATGCTCTCCCAGATCGAGCTCGAGGATCGGGGGGAGGTGGCACTTTCTGAGGAGGACCGGCAGTGGTGGCAGAAGCATTTTCCTGAACTACCACATCCTGTTCTTCAACACATGGCTGGACAGAGCCAAGATCCAACTACAACGCCCTGGAACCGGAGAATTCGGAGGGCACACCTCACTGGAAAGGGGGTCATCGTACACCTATTCAGTGGTCCTGATGTGAAGAAGTGGAATTGTGTTGGCGGAGGAGCATACTCTTGGCTGTGCATTGACACGGAGATCAACTCCTCGTTGAACCTGCACAACCCGGCCGTTTGGGGCTATTTGTGGAAGCTGGCGTCTTGGGGACGCATCGTTGCAATTGTTGGAGGTCCTCCCTGCAGGACCGTGAGTCGCCTTCGAAACCGGTCACCACCAGGACCTCGTCGCCTTCGTGGTCGAGGAGAAGATCGCTGGTGCCTCAATGACCTCTCGGAGGAGGAACTTCGCCTGGTTCATGGCGATACAGCTTTGTGCACGAAGCACATGGGTCTATGGATCCGAGCTCAAGAATGCCGCAGAACATCGACGAATGTTGGCATGCTGTTGGAATCACCGCGAGATCGCGCTGAATATCTTGCTGGTGAAGAAGGTGGGCAAAGCGCTTCTTTCTGGTGCTTCCCGGAGCTGATGGCTTGGGTTGGAACTGCTGGCCTTCGCTTGGTCACTTTCGATCAAGGAAAGCTGGGTCACCAGAGGAAAAAACCTACGACAGTTTTGACTAACCTTCCTGCCTTCCAAGAACTACATGGCCTCCAAGGCGATGGTTGTGATGACAGACCACTCCCGTCGAACCTCGGTGACCGCATTCGCACTTCGAAGACCTGGGCAGCATGGGCACCAGGCCTTGTGGGAGCGATTCAAGAAGCTTTGAGGAGGTTGCTTGGCGTTTTGGAGGAGGAAAAGGGGGCTGGAGGCGGTCACCATGTCTCCAAAATGGACCTTGCAGCTTGGCATCGACATATCAAGCAGGGTCACATCCCCTTTCGTGCTGACTGCCGCATCTGTGGGGAAGCTATGGGCTGCGACAAACCACACAAGAGGCTTGGGGGGAGCGCCACGAAGTTCACTATGTCAGCCGACCTTTGTGGACCGTTTCCTGAAGGGAAAGATTTGGGCACAGGAGTCATTTGCAAGTACGCACTGGTCTCAACTGTGGCCGTCCCCATCATCTCTGAGCTTCCAGGTGAGGTTACTGAGCCATGCGACACCACCAAGGATGTGGAGCACACGGAGGAGATTCCCTGCGAGCCAGAAGACCGTGACCTAGTCCCTGAAGATGAAGTCCGGAGGCTCAATGAAATGGCTGAGATTGAGAAGTCTCAAGAACCACAAGGACATCAAAATGTCACCCTGGCTGAAGTGATTCCTGATCGCACGGTGGAGTCACTGGTCCGTGCTTTGTCCCGCTTGCACGCCAAGTACCGCATGCTGGGCATCCAGGTCTACAGATTGCGCACAGATCGTGAACGATCATTTGCTTCAGCACCAATTCAGAAGTGGTGTGAACAGCGACAGATTCGCTTGACTATGACGGCTGGCGATGACTCCAAGGCCAATGGCCGTGTTGAAGGAGAAGTGAACCAACTCAAGCGCCGAACCAGGTTGTTCCTTCATGATGCTGGACTACCTCACTCCTTCTGGCCCGTTGCCCTTCGCCATGCTGCCGAACAACGTGTTCGACTACAACTTGAACGACTTGGGCTGGAAAGTCCTCCTATGCTTCGCTTCGGAGCATCAGTTTTGGTCAAATCCAAACGATGGCATCGTGCAGGTCAGCTCTCTATGCCATACCGAACTATGCAACTCCTTGGTCCCTGCCCATACATGTCGCATGGCTGGATTGTCCGGGACAAGAAGGGCCAATTGTTGCACGTGCGCACTGCACTTGAACCATCGCCGGTAGCCGATCAGGCGATCATGCAACTCCAAGAGGTGCCTGCCGTGAAGCATCGCATCACTGGAAAACACTCACCTCCACTACCTGACCATCCACTGGCTGGCCGCGTGGGAGCGCTCTATGAGGAGTCGGTTCCAGCTCTATCAACTTGCAGAGCTGGGGGGGAGGACTCTCTGGATTCTTTGGACTGGTCCTCATCGTTGGATGTTGGCAAGTCGCTTTCACTGGGGCTTGAGCCAAAGGGGGTGTTGGAGGAGGTGAATGGTGGCCACAAACTACATGATAAAGTTGAACCTGGTGATGAACTTTTGCACCATGACCTTCAGGGGGAGGTCGAAGATTCACTGCTGTGTGATTGGCAGCAGGTGGAAAAGTGGCATGAGCTTGAACAACAACGACACTGGGCGCTCAAACAGCTTTGGTGTCAAGGCCTTCGTGAAGTTGCAGTTGGTGAGAACTCCGGCAGTGTCCATGGCAGCTGGCTTCATGAAGTTGAACTACTCCTCAAGGGTGCTGAAGATCAACTGTCGTTTCAGCACTCTGCAATTGAGAACTTCAAGCTGTCGGCATTGGCTCCATCAATGGGACCCCAGATGCTCCAGCAACAGTGCTTCAGACCTATCTACAGCAAGTTCGCAGGGAATTGGAAAAATGGAAACCTCCTCTGCGTGATGAATATGGACAGCTGGTGTCCTCAACTCAGGCAATCAAGCCTACTACAGAGGAAAAGTTGCGCCTGGATCCAAGATTTCCCACTATGGAGCTGGCTCCAGCGATGCTTGTTCCTACAGTCAAAAGTCCCCATGGACGTCTTCGAGCTCGGGTGGTCATTTGTGGAAACCATCTCACCAAGGTCAATGAAGAGAGCAGCAACTCTGCAGGTGAGACTCAGCCCAAGGACTCAAACCCGTTCTCGCTCTATGCAGGTGGAGCAGATGGAACTACGTTGCGCTGCTTGATGAAATGTGCGGCTGAAAACTCGTGGTCAGTCGGCACGGTGGACGTCAAAACAGCCTTCCTTCTTGCACCACGACCTGACGAACAAGAACGTCTGCTAGTCGCTCGTCCACCAAAGGTGTTAATTGAAGCTGGAATTTGCGATGCTGCGGAACTTTGGGAGATCTCGCATGCCGTCTACGGGCTGAACGATGCTCCAGCAAATTGGTCGCAGTACCGTGACCGTGAACTACCTCAACTGCGCTTCTCGGCAGGAGGTCATGACTACCAGCTGGTGTCCACACCGGAGCCAAACCTTTGGAAGTTGATCAAAACCGACCCTGGTGCTCTTCCGCAGGAGGACAACTCTGAAGGCTTCCTCGCTGTGTACGTTGATGACATGCTTGTTGCTGCACCAGGTCCCTTGGCAAAGTCGGTGATCGATGGGATCAGGGCTCATTGGCGGTGTTCGGAACCAGAGTGGGCGACAGCAGAAAAGGCCATCAAGTTTTGTGGCTTTGAGATCAGCTGCAGCGACGATGCGGTGATCCTCAACCAGGCCTCATACACTCGAGATCTGTTGTCTCGTCATGAAGGCATCAAACCACGTCAAACGCCTCTTCCTTTGGGAGTTCAAGATGAAGTTGAAGCTGATGTGCAAATCTCTCAAGTCCGACGAGCTCAAGCTTTGGTCGGAGAACTTCTTTGGTTGAGTGGCCGCACAAGACCAGATCTTTGCTACGGTGTCTCCATCATGGGACGTTTGGTGACGAAAGCGCCGACTAAGGTTCTGGAGTGGGGTGCTCACATGTTGGGCTACTTGCAGCATACAGTGGACTATGAGCTTCGCTACACCAAGCAGGTGGTGGAGTCGTCCCTCGAAGATTGTGATGCTGCCAAAAAGCCCTGCCTGAAAGTGTATTCAGATGCTTCTCATGGACCCCAAGGAGGACGAGGACAGCAAGGTCTTTTGGTGACCTACAATGGCTCTCCAGTGCAGTGGGAGAGCAAACAACAACCATTTGCAACTCTTTCAAGCGCTGAGGCCGAGCTGATGGGCTACGTTGATGGAGTCGTCATCGGAGAGTCAGTCGCCTCAGTGGTCAATGTGCTGGAGGACAATCGTCTTCATCTCCAAGGCCAACAGGTCCTTTGCGGTGACTCTCAAACCGGCTTGAAGATTTTGGTCGCCCCGGATGGACCCTGGAGAACAAGACACCTTCGCTTGAGGGCGTTCGTTGTGAAGGAACGCATTCAGCAGAGCTGCTGGAAAACCCAACATGTTCCAGGTGCCGAACTTGCCTCAGACCTGCTCACTAAACCAATCGTCAACCCGACGCTGTGGCAGAACTTTTACACCTTCATTGGAGCTCGTGTGTTGTCCAAGGATGTTGACCGAGCTCCAGGTGCATCGCTGTCCAAGTCAAGGTTGATGGCAATTCTGGGCGGCATCATTGGCATGGCGGCATGGAACCCTTCGCAGGAAAGTCACAAGGTGGCGAGATGTGTCACCATCTCAGCTTTGGTAGCTGCACTTGCAATTTGGTGGAAAAAGGACAAAAAAGACCCCACAAAGACCAATGGGCACCTGACGGTCGATTCGCGGGCGGGGGCACCCATGGGAAGCGAATCGGTCGAAACAAGAAAGTCAAGATCGGTGAGGGAAAATGAACCCACCGCACGGGAGGGGTTGGGGGGGTTGGGACCTAGCCTAAATGGCTATACCTCGGCCGCGTCTCGTGCGTGCGATCATGGCGTGCGGCTGGCTGCGCTTGGGGCTCGTGCTGGACCGGAGCAGCCGGAAGAGCGGGTTTGGGAGTGGTTCCCATTCCAGCTCCCTCCGCAAGGCCGCGACCGCTGGGGGCGATTGCGCTATGGATGGTGGGTGAGGCATCATGTGAAGCCTCGAAAACGACCTTTCCACCCGCTACACAGGATGACGCCCTTCAACAGTGCATCCATCCGACACCAAAGGGTGACTGTTGTTTGGCACCATGGAGAGAAAACCATCTTCTACGACGACTGGAGGAGTGGCATTGGCCCTGTCTTGCCTGACCAGGATCAATGGGTGGGATACACCTTTTTCCGGGAGATTCCGTCCCCAGACAACAGCTTGGGACAAACAACAACTTCCACCGATCCACAGTCGAGCAGCTCAGGTCCACCTCCAGTTGATGACACGCTGGAACCACCCCAACGACGGGCGACTTTGGATTCGGTGGCAGAGAACTCCACTGGCACTCCATCGTCTGAACAGGTGGAATTTCCGACGGCCAATGTGACCTGGGTGAGAACTGAAGTGCATTCGGTGAGGAGGACTTCATCGCCATCGTCCTCTGCACCTTCACAGACCTCTCCCAGCACAAGGTCCAGTGCGACTGGATCTACGGCAGCGGCTCGGGGCTCAGACGCCATTGATGCTGGCGTGACCCTTGGCTACATGGGGCGACTTGGCGGCTACCTCTCTCGCGGGGAGAACCTGCGGTCTGGGCCGGCGTCGAGCGCCACAGAAAGTGAAGGTGAAAGGGAAGATTGGAGGAGGAATTTAGATATGAGCTCAACCAGCTCAGTTCAGGGGCACGAAACGACACTACCTGGACTTCCTCCTCTACACGAACACTTGGATGAGGTTCCGCAATGGATGGGCATTGTGAGCCAACTCCCAGTGAGGCCGCGTGGTGTGCCGGGTCAAAGTGACCACTTGAGGGATCCGGATTCGGATTCTGACGGCAGCTATGAAGTTTGTGGTTGAAAAACCACTTGAAATGTGGTCGAAGGATCACTTCCTTTTTTTCCTGAAGTTTGACCATGCGATGGTCAGGGGGAGTGTGGCAGTTGAAATGGACCACCAACCTCCAAACTTTGTTTGCAGTCAGGTGCACAAAACGAGAAGTGTACTTGAAACCACTCAGGTGAAACTCGCCATTCGATAAACATCGTTTGGCTCAAGGTTGCGCGGAGAAAAGGATCCGTGCAGCACCACACGACACACCCAACCTTCCCTAGGTTTAAAGCCCGCGGCAGGACTTGATTCAGGAAAAAAACAGGACTTTAAGGAACCTCATAGCAACGGCCTCCGAACCTACTTGCGCACTTTTAAAGAAAGAATGCTTGGACTTCGAGGTTTGCCGTGATAGCGCCGTGATAGCGCCGTGTTGGCCTCTTCCTTTGCAGGTCCCGGATCCCGTCTTCATGATGGACCCCAAATCCCACCGCTACGTGCCTATGGATTCGCAGCTCTTCACACAGTTGCAGCAGGGCAGATCCAAATTGTGCCCTGGTGCCAGAAGTCGTCAGTCACTTCTCGCCATATAAACCTGGAAGTCGCCATGTGTCATTTCGTTTCTTGAGATTGGTATAGGACGCTTTTCTCTTCAACAACATGGTGCCAAGAATTGCACCAAGGTGATGAAGCTGAGAGATTGAGTGAAACCGTGACTCATTTTGGAGTGGCGTACTTATCGCCCTTCGCCGTGCGCCCAAAAGTGGCTCGCCCAAGAAGGGCCAATGTCAGACTCAGTCGTTACTCCGTCGTCCCATTTTTGAAGAGTGTGGACTTATCACTTGGTGTGACCTCGTTTGGGGGTAGCTGCCAAGTTGACCTTGAAGTGTCTTTGCCAAGTTTTGTCGTCAAATCGTGAAATGCGTTTTTGTTGGTCCAAGTTTTGTCCTCAAATTGTTCAACGGTACTTTGAGGCTTCCAAAGACGTCCGATTCGCGGCGCTTGGCGCGTGGCGCGGCGTTCAGCGGGAAGCAGCGGAAAGTCCGAGACGGGGTGGTTTTGTTGAGAGCAACTTTTGAATTTAATAACAGGGAAGGCCATCGCTCTTAGGGGGAGGCCATCGCTAGTAGGTTGGAGGCCATCGCTAGTAGGCTTTTTGAATTTAACAACATGGAAGGGTGAAAGCGCCCTCATTTTGGGACTCAAAAGGGAGAGCCTCTTTTTTTGGATTTGAAGACACTTGATGATACACGCAGACGCTGACGTAGAGACGCAAAGACAGGCATTATTCAGGAAGAAGCCTCTTATCTTTCAAAGAGTCGCCTTACGTTTCCCAAGTCCAAGTTGCGATCTGCCAACTTTGGAGACGGCCCGATCTGCCAGTTTGAATGCTTTTCTGGGACGACTTTGCAATGTTGGCTCAATGAGGCATGTTAGGCCTTTCCACATAAATGCAGGCTGCCATGTGGATCCCTCAGGAAAAGTGTGTTGACATGTGCAGAAGCACTCTAAGATACTCTAAGCACTCTAAGGCCTGGGGCAGAAGTCCCACTTGGCGCCTGGCAGCTCAATGCTGCAGATGTGTGATGGAGAAACTGAGGGACGAAGGATTCTTCCAAACGAAGGATTTCCGTGAACCATGCAATGCTGCAACGTGCATGTCACCTGTGATTTTTGTGTTCTGCTGTCTTCGAGTGAACAAATTGGATATGATTCGTCGAGCAACCACAAGGGTAGCCAAACTGTGAGGAAGCCAAATGGAAGCCACATAAGGTACGAATGGTTCAAATGGTTGCACCCGACGTAAACTACGTAATACAGTATTTCGATTTCGACCTGCTCGTTGGTCCGTTTTTTTCCACCGGACATCGCTGGCCAAGGGCGATGTGCCTCGAGGTGCCGCAAGAGTGAAAGAAGTGGAAACCCGGACTGGAGTCATTTCTCAGAAATTTAACCTACTAGCGATGCCCTTTGCTCCTAGTAGCGTGCTTGCTCCTAGTAGTACGGCCAGGAGCCCCTAGTAGCTTCTTGCTCCTAGTAACTTCGGGTTTTTGGAATGTTTCTTGGAATGATGTGGCACGATTTCTAGTCAGTGAAGTGCTGCAAAGTCTGCCAGGGTTGACTGTGGCATCACACTACGGAGCACTGGATGAGTTTCAGGACGCTGAAGCTGCAAAGTTACTTGGCACACTTAGTATTCTCAATCAAATAGAATTGCAACATTCTTTGCTAGTCATTTTTGTTGCCAAACACATCTCTTTGATGGTACGTAGTTCTTTGTTTCTCGGCTTGAGGCTAGCAAAATCCAAGCGCAGGCGTCGAGTAAATTGCTCCGAGCCTACTCTCCAAAGAGCGACTCCGGCACAGCAAATTGCTCTTGTTTCTAATAGCTTCTTGTTACTAGTAGTAAGGCCAGGAGCCCCTAGTAGCGTCCTTCTCCTAGTAGCGATGCCCTTTGCTCCTAGTAGCGTCCTTGCTCCTAACGTCACTTCATTTTTGTCCCTTTTTTCTTCGCGTCTTAGGTGTGCCGTTGCTGTTGGCATTGTTGCTCCCGCAATACACTGAGATGAAGCTTCTGTGATTTGAGCACACGTCGGAGGCATTTTCTTGCATTGTGCAGCTGTTTGCGATTTTTATGGATTGCGGCCCCTGGAGTCAGTGGAGGTTGTATCGTGTTGGCGCCGAGGTGGCTTGTCTTCGTTTTCTGCTTCGCTCTCGCTGGGGCCTTGGGGGTCTCGGGGGCCTTGGTTTTCTGCTTCACTCCAGGCGCTACTAGTAACAAGGGCATTACTACTAGTTGCTAGTAGCTCCTGGTATCGCTACTAGTAGCTAGACGCTATTAGGAACCTACTAGGAGCAAAGGACATCGCTATTAGGAGCAAGGACGCTACTAGTAGCTCCTGGCCTTACTACTAGGAGCAAATAGCGACTAGTAGCTCCTGGCATCGCTACTAGTAACAAGAAGCTTTTTGGGATTAGCCATAGATCCCACGCCCTCGCAGCCTCGCAGGCAGCGTTTGTTCTCCACTATGCTGCGCCCCTGAGCACCACGCTGGGAGCCAAGGATTCCATCTTCAGATGGCCACGCAGCAGAGCTTTCTTTTCTCCTCCTTTGATTCCTTTCCTTTCTTCCTTAACTACTCGTCACCTCTAGTAACTGGTCGATTTTTGAGGGAGTAGGTAGGTTGTGGGGTTACATTCACAGTGCCGGTGCTGCGACCTAAGGCTTTGTGAACTTGCTATCATTGCTGGGTGTTAACCTAAGTCCACACCTCCAAGTTGCAGCATATGGAACTTGAGAAGATTGCTGGCAAGTCTGCTGAGAAAGCCTCATGCTTTGGCCCCTTTCTTGTCGGCTCAAGGAGTAGGAGGGCATGATGGAGACAAGAGCAGCCTCACTGGCGCTGGAAATGAAAGCCACACACACATGCAACCCTTTCTTGTTGATCTTAGTCCCAAATCCCAAAAGAAGACTTCTTGTCACAAGGAACACCGTTAGAATCTTTCTGGATCGATACAGCCATTGCATCAGGAGCAGGACCATTTCAGGATTGGACGAATTGGTCACTGGAAAAGTGTTGCCGTTTTGACCGACTCCAACTGCAGGATCTGCAGGATGCGAGCAGGTGGGGAAGAATGGGGAAGAATGCAGAGCTGGCTTTTGGGCTTCACATTTGACACGAAGTGACACGAAGGACCCATCGCCCATGTGGTTCTGCTACTCCTGGCCTCGTCCATGGTTGCTTGGGCAGCTCCAGGCCGACTTTTGTTTGCGAAAGCGGACCAATCGGGAGTCATCTATGTGCTCAGTAGGAAAAATCTTTTGGATCGATCAACCCGATCAATCTTGTTACTGGTGTAACAACTGTTTCCCAGAACTCTTTTGGTGAACAAGATCGCTGTTGCGAGATTTTTCTACAGCAATACTACTCGGGTTGTGAGATCGCATGTTTGAAAGACGTTGAGATGCTTTCCTCGGTTGTACCGAAAAGGCTTGAGATGTGCATGGCCCTGCACTCGAAGCGGCGGTGCACGGTGCAGGCGTCGTGGTCCCGCCGGGAGAGGAGGAGATGACGCCGGAGAAGGCCGAAGCCATCAAACAGGCCAAAGCGTTGTTGGCGAGCCTCAAGAATCGCACCAACAGGACCCGATTTCTCGGTTTTTACAGTTTTCTACTATTTCTTTCTATATAAGATGTTAACACATGTTTGGAAGGATGCATTCTTGTATAGACAAAAAGACCTAAAGCCATCCCTAGGTCCTCCATTGGAAGGTATAGACAGGACAAAAAGGGATTCTTGTACCCTCAAAGAGTATCCTCGAAGGATGCATTCTAGTGAGTGGTAAGGGTATATCATGGTATATGCTTCCTATCACATTCTAGGGCACTGATATACTATTCTAGACCTATTTAAGACCGAGGCCTTGGTTAGTTAGACCTATTTAATACGAGACCTTGTGTTGGTTCAGCCGCCATTTTACACCTTTCACACTTTCAGGACGGCAAGGACTCGTGCCGACAATGACGAGATGCTCGCTCGTGTCATTGTGGCCTGGCACAAGAGACCGTGCTGAGACAAATGTGTCACGTGATGCCATGTGATGCCATGTGTCACATGTCAATCTAATGACCAACTGAAGAAGAACGCGTCAAAAATTCTTGAACGTATCTTAGGATGTTAGAGTACATGGATGCTAGAGCTATCTAGAGCTTAGGTATTCTTCCACATAATATACGGCACCCGAAAACGCCGTTGCTGCTTCGCTGCGCTCAGAGCCTGGTGATCCACGACGCCTCCATGGTTCGCTTGCAGAACACCGAGCCCAATCGCTCGGAGGCAAAGCATAGCTTGTTGCACTGCAAATATTGGTCTTGAAATGTATGGACGGTTTTTCTTTTTTGAGTTTCTCTCTTTTGTGCGCGTCAAAACCGGTCAGGATTGCACCTGGCCCAGCTGTGCGGCATACTGCGCTCCGCAGCTGGGCGCAAGCGATTCGAGTGCGACTGCTTGCGCTCGAAACTGCGCTTCGTTACAAAGAGGTCCTGGTCAAGGTTCGCACGCTCGAAACTGCGCCCCCAGGTGTGCAAAGACGAACCAGTATTGGACTGGATTTCACGAGCGCCTTCACATTGTGCTTGGTTTTCCCCTATTTTCTGCCACTGATGCTGGCTTTTCGCCGCCAGGACCTGCTTTACGTCAGGAACCCAATGCCAAGAGAACTCCGAATGTGCTAAGGCCTCAGAGAGACTATAGTCGAATGTATGGTCGCTACCTTTTGCATTGTTTCGATCACGCGCATCAGAATTGTGTTCTTTCCCAAAGATAAGGAAGGGAAGGGAAGGGAACGAAGGAAGAAAGAAAGAAGGACACAAGGAAAAAGGTTACTTCCTCTAAAGATCTACTGAAACCATTTGACCACGCAAAGGGTTCTTCTGCTTCCGCACGTTTAATCCATAGCTTCCTGTTACGTCGTACCTTAAAGCTTAGTACGAGCTACCGATCTATCTCACTTCCCGACCACTCCTTCCCCCGCGACTCCCCGGCGACGTTACCTTCCCTTCCCTTCCTTGTTTACTCCGACTTGAGGTCATGGGTGCTTGCTTTGCTGAGCCAGGCGAGGAAGTGGTGCAGTTTCGTTTCCGAACACTGTTGAGCTGATGAGTTTGAGGTTATTGCTATGCGGATGCATATCCTCAAATTGCAAGGCTTGGACAGAAAGTTGTTTCGTTGCACCCTTACTAGGAACAATGTTCGCTACGTGTGGGGCTCCTGGCATCGCTACGAACGGAGCGGACGCTATTAGGAACCTGGAATACCGAACGCCCTACCCATACCGGCCGATACCGGCCTTACCCTCTCGAAACAGTGTTTCTTGAAAAAGAAGGGCCTCTTTGTCTGAAGCCATGCTCCTTCAATTTTTCTTTTGAATGTGATCAAACGCACCAAAAGGCTCCGGCTCCTCTTCTCGAAAGACTTTCGAAAGGCTTTCAGTCAAACGTTCCGAAAGGCTTGGTTTGCACCGAGGTGCTGGATGGGTGCCACTCCAGAGAAGGCCAGCCCGTGTTTCAGACGGCTTTTGAAAAGAAATGTGGCCCCCGAACCCTCCTACCAAAAAGGATTCTTCAAAAGGGAGGCCGGCAGGAACCGACCATTTCCCTGAAGGCACCAGGGTTCGCCCAGTTGGGTACCATCGATAGGCCCTTGAACCGCAAGACTTCGCAAGTCTAAGAGTTCGGGAGCGGAAGCAGATCGGTCGAAATGGTCAGGCCAACTTCTACAACAGCGTGATCTTGAGGTCGACCCGAATCATTTGCAGTTCTTCATTTTTGGCTAGGAGCGATCGGACTACTAGGGGCTCCTGGCCTTGCTACTAGGAACAAGAAGCTACTAGGAGCATTCTTACTGCTAGTAACAAATGCTGAAGCACCAGAATGCACCTCTGAGGTTGGGTGCTGCACCGCCTGTGCCTCTGCCGGAAGCGACCTATGAGGAGTGAGAGAGCCAAAGGGAATGCCATGTTCGAAACACCGCTAGCGGGAACACCTTGTTTCAGGGTGTTGGATCTTTCAATGAATATGTTTGTCTTTCACTGCCTTACCACGAGTCTTACCCCTTTTATCTTCCACATTCAACTCAAAAGTGGCCAGGAATGGATGACCTGGGCTAACTCTTGTGCCATCATTCCCTTCCTGCTCTTTATCTTCAGCCTGTTTGTCGCCTACAAAGTCTGCTGGGTCATTGACTTTTCCAAGGGTGACCAATGCGACTGGCTGCCACGCACCAGACATGGCATCATCGTCTTCTCCGTTTTGTCCTCAAAGACCGATTGAGCTTCGTGTGTTTTGCTGCCTGCTTAGTTAACACTTGTCTTGGAGGGTTCTTGTTGCAAGGTCTTTTGCCTGATCTTCTTTTTGATCTTTCAGGCCTGGGAGTGATCTTGGTGTGGTCCTCTTCTGTCTCGTTCTCTTTTGTTTCCTTATTTCACAATTTCAAAAACGTGTTACGTGTTTTCGATCTTCTTCTGGTCCTCCTCGCTTCGCAGGTGATCCGCTTCTTCGTGGTCCGCTCGGATATTCGGATTTTGGAGGGTCGAATGGACGACCTGCAGAGATCGATGCAGCTGAGCACGACGGCGAGCGTCATGGGAAACCCCCTTTGAGGTCTAAAGAAAGGTCGAAAGGATTGAAAGCAAAGAACATCGCTACGAACGGGGCTCCTGGCATCGCTATTAGTAACAAGGACGCTACTAGGGGCTCCTGGCCTTACTACTAGGATGTTCGCTACTAGGAACAAAGGGCATCGCTACTAGGAGCAAGGACGCTATCAGATTGAAGGCCATTGCTAGAAAAGAAATGGAACAAAGGAGGCATTGGAGGATGTTTAAGGCCTTGGGAGCCCATTGCGAGGTCACCTCAGTATGTCACCCCTGTAAACATAGCTTGACACTTAGCCGCTTAGCCTTTCCACCCACAGCCAGGCTTTTCGGTTTGGGGTTTGGCCGACGATTCAAGGAAGCAAGTCTTTTTTGGGTGTCATTCACCTCCGTGAGTTTCTGCGAAAAGCATCCGCGATAGCCAGATTGGACCTTTCACCCCTTTTTTGTTTCTAGTAGCGATGGCCTCCAACCTAATAGCAATGAGATTGAGAAGGGCGCAACGCCGATCTCATCCAGGAAAGCGCGTGTTGATAGAAACATGATGGTCGGCTTGCTGTGACCAGACTCTTCCTTCAGATGTGCAGCACTGCACCGCGTTTTCTTTTTCTTTTTTTAGCAAGAAGGCTATTGTAAACGATTTAAATCCAGGACTTCACCTAGAAATAGAATGCTTTTAAATGCTTATATATGGCTTATAAGATGTTTTGACCTTTATTCTTTCCCTTTGCTTGGATTTGTGGACAATTCTTTTTCCCTTCCATAGATCTAGGACTTCACTTCGGATGCTGCGCTGCGCAGCGCTCAGGCACAATTTCCAAGAGCTCACGGACGAGCTTGTTTCGGTGGGGGAGCTCCGGCAAAGAGAGCGGGTCGAACGACCCTAGGACGACTAGGTCGAACAACCCTCCTCAACGTCACAACCCACCGTGGAACATGTATTTGACGGAACTTGCCACCGATGTGAAAGATGCCGAGACTGAATCGCAAGGCTGAGCACGCCTACAATCAATCCTTGGTCTATGCTCCAGGCGTGAATTGTATTGGAGCAATTTGAGTGAATGCATGAGTGAATGCATTGACGAAAGCGATTGGCATTATCTCCATTCATTTGCTCTTATTCAAGTTTCGACAGACCCATTCTCCATTTGTTTGTCGGCAAAGCCTCGCTTTTGTGGGCCTTTGTAACGGCCTTTGCTAGCATGAGCATGTCTGGCATGTCTTTGCATTCCTTTTGGAACTGAAAATCTGCGATTCGGCAGATTCCTGTGGTGAGCACAATCCGTTGGCGACGCAGCTGGTGCAGCTGTTGGCAGATGCACTGGAGGACGAGTTCATGCAGGCGTGAAGAGTCGGTTCAAACATGGGGAGATGAAGTCGGGCCTTTCGGGTTCTGTGTTGGATTTGTTCCCTGAAACGGGAGATGAATCCAGTTGGAGGCCGTCGCTAGTAGGGTGGAGGCCATCGCAAGGGAGGAAGGGCTTGTATTGGAGTGGCCCGTACATTCTCCTTTTTGTTCTCGGAATTGCTGTGAAGTTCTAGACAAAAGACAGTTCTCGTTTCTAGCTGACTCCACTATTGACCATCAAGTGCACCAAGAAATGCAAATCCCATGATCAGCTGGTTTCTTTCCCTTGCGCCCGCATACACCGCCAGGAAAAGAGTTAGTCGCGCTTCAAAGGTTTTATAGAAATTCATTTCCCCCTTGGCATCCTCTCTGTAGCATCCTCCGACTGGACCGTGACCGTCCACGGTCCAATTTCCTGAAGGGACTTGTGTGGTGGAATCACCGGAACGGGCGGCAGTTGGCTGTGCCACATTTGTCACGCAACATAATCCACAGCTCCACGTGACGGTAAGAAGACCAAATTTTTGTGCCTGCTGAAAACTTCTTTGAGAACGCCATGATTCACAGGTCGATTTGATTCTTGAGATCGTGAGAGAGACTTTGGACACCGCGATGGTGTTGTTGGCGAGAGGCAACTGTCAATGAGATTATCAGAATTGTTGATACTGATCATCATCTGTCAGGAATGTAGTGTTTGCTGTGATGACACCCATTTGGCAGGTAAAACCAACCTGCACTCATTCGGATATATGCTGATCTACTATCCGCAGCTTAGCCGGAGAAAGCTCTGAAAGAATGTTGTCACCACTTGCGCTTGACAATTGGAGGATTTACCCGGCCGTGATCATGCTCCTGGGAATGGCATGCCTGCTCTGTATCTCGGGCTTTACATCATTTGGAAGCCTTTACATCATGCTAGGCCATCGCTCTTAGGTTGGAGGCCATCGCTCTTAGGTTGGAGGCCATCGCCATTATGTTGGAAGCTCCTGGAAGTTGGTCATGTCTGAGGCATCGCAGGCTTTGCTTGGAACCGGCCGAAGGTCCTGATCAACCCATATTTTCGAGGCCTCGCATTTGTCATTTTCTGCTTGGTTTCTTTTTGCACGGAACTCGGCTACCCCTTACTACTGAATACACCTAATGATAGTTCTTGGCTTTCAGCGATCCACAATCAAACACAATTCTCGAGTGATTTCATTAAACGTCTCACCTTGCAAATATGACACAATCCTTGCTCAAGTGATGTCTTTTTGTTCAGGTGCTCTCAACATGCTCTCCCCATGCATCCTGATCTTCGTGCTGTTCCTGGACCGTGCATTGTTCGCTTGTTCGCGCCAGTCGGTGTTCAACTTCGGACCTTGGACATCGCAGAACGCGCCACTTGTAACAAGTGCCACGCCACTAGTAACAAGTGCCTTACTAGTAGTAACAAGGACGCTAGTAGCAACAAGAATATCTTCGGATGTGGCGTTGTAAATTCTCTTCCACCGTCAGGTTTTGCGGCATTTGTGCATCATTGTGCTTCTATATCTCCATGCTCATCACCGGTTACTGATGCTTGTTTTGCATTGATTGCTCTTGCATTCCAGATCTTCACATGCGCATCCTTCCACGGATCCTTTCCATCCTTTCAACCCTTTGGATCCCTTGGGTTTGTACAGCCTGAGGCTTGAACATAGATGACAATTTGCAAGTGGCATCATCACGCATCAAATTTCACGAAGAGGTTGCCGAGAAGGTCAATGCTCTTCAGCAGACATTTGACATTTATCTTGAACAATGCCGGAGTGAAGGCATTGAGAACCTGAGATTTGCTGCTAAGGTGGAGCCTATCCTCCAACATACTGCCGCGTACTATCTACAAGGCTCCATCTGTCTATCTTGGACATTCACAAAACGAAACTGTACCTACTAGTAACAAGTGCATCGCTACTAGTAGCTTCTTGTTACTAGTTACTAGTAGTTATGGCCTTGTTACTAGTAGCGATGGCGATGCCCTTTAGAATAGCTAGCAGCTAGTGACGGCTAATTTTGAAACGAACTTGATCAATCTGAATCTCCTGGTGTCAAAACATGTGAAGCGAAAAGGTGTCAATGTGAATCCCATGGGGACATTGTTGCAAAACTTTGAAGCGGCGCTCTACACGGTGAAGCGTTTGTATGAGCGTCTTGGTCTTGTAACAAATAGGTGCAGGTTTGGTGTAAAAACGCAGTGTGTTTGGGCTATTCCTCACACGGGTTTTGGCTTATTTCAGATTGACATCCGGGGGGTTTGTATGACCAATTCCAGTGAGGATGTTTGAATGGCTCGTGCACCTGGGCGACGTCAGTTGCCCTGGACTAGTTCGGCTGAGCCCTGTGCCCCTCTTGAAATTGCTTTTGGAGTGCCTTGTCCTTTGCGAGTGCTTTACACAACTTTTTGTTTCCCGCGATATTTTACCATTCTTGTTTTAGGGAGGTAGGCCCTCATAGGCTGTGAGAGTGAAGAGGTTAAGAGGTAGCTACTAGGTAGTAAGAGGTACGCTACTAGCAAGCGATAGGAGGGAAGAAGCTCTTATAACTTTAGCAGCTTTAGATTGAAAGTTGCATAGGCCAGGGCGGTCAAGCAAATTACCATATCTCTACTCTTGACGGAAGAAGTCCTACACTACCGTCCGCCGTCTTCCTACAGTAAATTATCGGTGCTTTTGCAGATGTAAATTACTGTGTCCACTTTGTGGATAGTTGGTTCAAGCGGCATTCTAGTGCTTTCTTCCAAGGGCTGGATTAATTACTGTATATAGTTTGAAGGAGCAGAGGAAACGTACTTTAGACTCTTGACATTTTCTTGAAGTCCTCTCACATATAAGGACGACGGCAGACGGGTATGACTTCATCTCTGCCAAGAACATTTGGCCGTACTACTCAGCCATTGCTCACAAGCTACTTGGCATCAGCATCAACCAGCCTTGCTTGGAGGCCATCGCTAGTAGGTTGGAGGCCGCTTGTATCAATCACCCGCCTTTCCACTTCTCGCTGCAGCTACTTGCGGAGCAGGACGGTCTGTCACCACTTTCCGCGCAACGGCATGGGCCTAGTGTTCATTTGCATTTTAATCGGCTTCATTTTTTGCCCTTTGTACCTTGGCTGGAAGTCCTAATGCCGGTGTGGTTTAACACTTGGTGTGTTTTTGGTTGCTGGTGAACAGCACCAGCCCCATCGCTCGTCTGGAGCAATCTGAGGATTGCAATTACTATCAGTAATCACTTGAAGCATGCTCGCTGGGTACTGAGCCAAAGTATAGCCGGGGAGTGCTGGAAGAGAGTTTCTTGAAACTAAATGCAATTGCTGGGATACTAATGGATTGTCTCATGGCAACTAAGTGGCATTTTATTGATTTTTGTGGTATATATAGTCTTTTGGAACTCACATGATGCATTCTTGTGGTTTGGGGCTGTTTCTGAACCTCTCAGGATTTGGTCTAGAGATGGCTGAGTGTACCTTGGCACGCTCAAATCACAGGATTGAAGCTTTTTTGCTACTAGTAGCGTCCTTGCTCCTAGTAGTAAGGCCAGGAGCCCCTAGTAGCGTCCTTGCTCCTAGTAGCGATGCCCTTTGCTCCTGCGGGAAAACGATGTTCAAGATTTACATGTTCGGCGCGTCTCGGCTTCGATTCCAACATCTAAGCAACGCACGAGAACGAGAAGGTGAGCAATGAGTTTGGCACGGTGGGCGTGATGATCCAGTCCAGGCAGAGCTGCAGCGCATTGTTCACACACTGACTGAGAAAGATGCACAAATGACTATTGTTGGCTTTTACCTTGGACTTCATTGCATTCATTTTGCAGAAACGCTTTCTTAAAGTAGCGTTGAGGCATTTCCAGGGTCAGCTAATGCTCAAGGGGACAGCTAGGGGCATTTTTCCGTCCGTAAAGCCGCACAGCCTGTGCAGGTTGTCTGAGCTCAGCACTGATGAACAGGAGCTTCTCCTCAAATCATTGCACCAGGACTGAGGGAGACCTAGGGGAGACGACCATCGCTCTGATGTTGGAGGCCATCGCTCTTAGGAGCAAGGACGCTACTAGTAGCTCCTGGCCTTACTACTAGTAACAAGAAGCTACTAGGAACAAAGGGCATCGCTACTAGGAGCAAGGACGATAGTAGGTTGGAGGCCGCTCGTAGACTGAGGGAGACCTAGGGGAGACCTGTGAGACGTCTGGGAGACGTGCGACCCATCGCTCTAGCGTTTTTCGTGGAGCTTCGCAGCAACTCGGCCACACGGTCCTTTCGCCTTCACTCTTGCTTGGCTGATCCTCTTTTTGGTCCTCTTGGTCGGCTTCGTTGTTGAACCACTTGGTGCCCACGTCCTTGAACACATTGAACAGTTAGGGGAAGGAAGGGAAGACAGAAAGGAAGGAAGAAAGACTGCTCTGAAGGTTAAAGAAAAAAAGATGGAGCCCACGAACCCGAATGCAAACACGTTCGAAAAGCTATATACATATGTCCAAATGACACTCTTGTAGGACGCTCTTGTGGGACACTCTTGTGGGACACTCT